AAAAAAAAAAGATGCCACTTAGGACAGCCACAGCCCACTTGGGGATGCCTGGGCTCCACTCCTGGCTCTACTTCTGATTCATGCTAATACATGCCCTGGGAGGCAGCAGGTGGATGGATCAAATACTTGGGTCCTTGTAACCCACGTGGGAAACCCAAACTGAGTTAGGGGGCTCTTGCTTCAGTCTAGCTCCGTCATGGTTGTTGTAGGTATTTGGGAAATGAACCAGCAGATGGAAGACCTGTCTCATCTTCTAATAAAAAGGGTACTTGGGATAGAAACTCAACTAATGTGTCAGATAAGCTTTTTCTGCCTTTCTAATTAAATAAAGGTAATAAATAAAAATCACTCTCTCACAGTTGTCAGTGTAAAACTTATTTTCAGGCTAGCATACAAGATGTGCTGTGATGTGGACCCGTGACCTCTCCAGTCTGTCTCTCCTGCCTCCCCCAGCTCTGCTGCTGAGGGAACTTCTGGTTGTCTGGAGGTTCGCTCTCTGAGGAGGGCTTTTCCTGCGACTTCTTCGCCCAGTTAATTTGTTAGTCTGCCTTCACACCTTAGCTCAGAGCTGTCTTCTCTGAAACCCTTTCTCTTGGTCCAGCTGAGATGCAGCTCCCTAACTCCCCTAACAGTCCCAGCACGGTCACAGTGGCCCCCACCGGCTTCACTGGTCCTATCAGTGTAGCTCCCTACCACAGTCCCCTCCTGAGAGCCAGATGTGTCTGGTACCTAACCTCTAGGGTCTAATGCTCAGTGTGGAATGAATGAATGCAGCTTCTCCCACCACCCCACCCCCATTCCTCACAAACAGCAGGTTCAGCAAATAGATATTCAAATACAGTTTTAAAATTCTCCTCTTCCAAATAGGTTAATACAGATGGAGACGCAACTAGTGAGTCAAATGAACTTTTAATTATCTCAGGTTTCTGTTATTAAAATATTACTACACTTTCATCACAATGAAAAACAGACATAACTGTATTTTAGCAGGCAAATACCATTGTGGCTTAAAAGACTAAAGGATTCCCACAGTCTGGTTCTTTGGCCAGATGTATATTTTCCACTTGAAATACAGCCAATTATTTCTGAGAGAATCACTTCTACGAGTACTACAAAGTTCTCTGACATTTGTAAATTTATAGAAGTCATTCCACGCTCACCCTACTGCAGGAAAGGAAACAGAAAAAGAATGATCTCCTCCCTCCCGGACTCTGACACACCACAGTCACATTTTTGAACTGGATTAATGATTCTTTTTTTTAAAGAACTAACACGCTTCCTTTCTACAAAGTCTCATTAAATGTGAAAAGTTCCAGGATGACTGCAAAGCAGTCAGATTGTTTGTGAAAAGCAAACCAAACCCTGTGACTTACGCGTAATTCACTTAATGAGGTGTCTGGGTCTATTAAGCTGCTGGTGTCCCCGCTTCCTCGTCGGGACGAGTTTCCACTCAGAGGGGTTGTTGCTGAGGCAGAATTTCGAGAGGAAGGCTGGAGAGAGCACACAGAGCACGTCTCAGTCTTGTTCCCAATATGCTGGCTGTGGGAACTGACACTGGGCAGGATGGCGGGGCACACGCAGCTTCAGGAGACATACTGCTTCAGGCTTGTGGTGCAGCAGGTGAAGCCGCCAGCTGCGACGCCAGAATTCCAAATAAGCATGGGTTTGTGACGTGGCAGCTCCTTTTTTATTTTTATTTTTTTAAGATTCATTTATTTGTTTGAAAGGCAGAATTACAGAAAGGCAGAGGCAGAGGCAAAGAGAGACACAGAGAGAGAAGGATCTTCCGAAATCCAGTGATTCATTCCCCAAATGACCACAACAGCTGGAGCTGGGCCGATCCAAAGCCAGGAGCCAGGAGCTTGCCCCAGACTCCCACATGGGTGCAGGGGCCCAAGGACTTGGGCCATCTTCCACTGCTTTCCCAGGCCACAGCAGAGAGCGGGATCAGAAGTAGAATAGCCAGGTCTAGAATTGATGTCCATATGGGATGCTGGCTCTGCAGGTGGCGGCTTTACTTTCTATGCCACAGCGCCGGACCCAGCAGCTCCACTTCTGATCCAGCACCCTACTAACGGCCTGGGAAAGCAGCAGAAGATGGCCCAAGCACCTGGACCCCTGCCATCCATGTGGAAGACTCAGACACAGTTCCCGGCTCCTGGCTCTGGCCTGGCCCAGCTCCAGCCATTGTAGCATTTGGAGAGTGAACCAGAGGATGGAAAACCTCTGTCTTTCCCACTCTCTATGTCATCCTGCATTTCAAATAAATAAATCATTTTTAAAAATTAAAATAAAGTGGAAGAGATGGGCAATTTTGATTGGCTATGGCAGAGGAGGTATCCAGGGATGGGCCAAGGCATACCAAGCATAACTTTGTTAACTCAAATGCTGTATCAGAATCTAGAAATCATAGCAACCAAAAAGGAAATCATTTTTCTGGGAGTTGTTTATATAATCTTTTCTAAGTTTATCTTTGTTATATTATTAAAAATACTGGATGAGCACAGCAGATTAAATTTATTTAAAGCAGTTGTAAGACCTTAGAACTGGTATGCACTTTCCCTATTCTTAAAATTGCTTCTTCAGAAGCTCTTCTTTTTTTCACACTGTGTTTGATAAGGATGGACTTTCTACTGAGGCTGCAAGTAACAACACTGTGCACCACTACGCATGTAGACGGCTTTTCCTAAGATTAATGTAAATGTGAAATTACGCTACTGATTAGTAAGCAGCATAGGTCTGTGCTGTCCAATTTACTAGCAATTAGCCATCTGTGGCTACTTAACATTTGCAATGTAATTAGTCCAAATTGAGACTGAAATGTAAAATACATGTACCAGATTTTGAAGGCTTATTGTGGAAAAAATTAAATATATCTTAATTTTTATATTGATTATATGCTGAAATGTCCTGGATAGTTGGGCTAAAAAAAGTATACTGCTTAATTTTATTCCATTATTTTTTTTAAATGTGGCTACCAGAATATGTAAATTTACAAACATTCACATTTGTGACTTAAATTTATAACTCTAGTGGACAGACCTGATCCATCTTTTCAGGCACAACATAAAATTAATGTTGATAAATCGTTTTATAACTGGCTTTCTAAAAACAGTTTCAGAAGAAAGTTAGAGACTTTAACACAAAGCAACTCCAACAAAGGTGCTCTTTTTCTCAAGAAATAACTTATCTGTAAAGCCTAAAAAGAACCCCCAGAGTGTGTCACCACCGTTCCTGAAGACACTCCCACTGTCAGCAGTCAACGGCTTCTTCTCAGGACCAAGCTATGAGGAATGAAAATCAAAGGAGCAGCCAAAAGCTTAAGAGGTGACATTTCATGAAATAGAATGCAGTGTCTCTTCCCTTCCCAGGGCTTCACATGATTTAACTTCAGAGGAATTTTGAGGGGTCAAGGACAGGAAATAATTGAAGGGAGGAAGAGTAGCTCCATCAATCCAATTGTAAAATAATGAACAAACCAGCACAGAAAGTAAATTTAATTGGCCCTGAGAATTTAATTCCCTTAGGAATCTATTTACTTACCCTTGTGTAGTTTTCAGCATACTGTTTGTCAGATTTTTCATCCAACTAGAAAAGAACAGAGATTTTTATCAGGAAAGATGCTTAGCATGTTGACTATTTTAGGGGAAAAAAAAGAAGTGATCCTATGTGATCCTCTCCAAGTTCAACGATGTTTGGAAGCTAAAAGTAAACATACTAAAACTGAAATAAAAGATAAGACACAGAAGACAAAAATGTCAAGAACTTCCAGTCTTATCCTAAGAAAGATATGGAATAAGCAAGCTGTGTTTACTCAAAAATTTGGAACTTTTAGACAAATTTTCATTTCACAGTATTTAACACACATTAAAGAAGACTATATATAAACTCAAGTTTCAGCATTGTAAATGTTAATAAAAAAGCTGGTATATATATCAAAAGAATGAGTCTGATAAAACCAAATGCCAAAATTTCTAAACATTATGAGAGCATAGGGCACAGGGCACATGGATAAGACTAGTATATTTAGCCAGAAAAGTTCAGACTGGACCAAAGCATTTATATATATACCATGAGACATATGTGTTATTTTTGTCACATAATTAAAGATTTTGTTTTTGAGTAATATATGCACACATAACCAAGAAAATTAAAACAGCAAGAACTGAGTGTAAGAAATAGACCTCTTTCCAAACCATGCCATAAACTGACCTCCAATCTCCAAAGGCAACCAACCACCAAGTCTCAAAAAATTCTAACAATAGTGTCCCACATACATTACCCATATCTTAATTTCCCCCTTACCATGATTCATTTTGGGGAAGAACTTAATTTTTCGTTATAGCATTTATCAGTTCCTGAACTATGATATTCACTCACTCATTAACTGTCTGATCTCTATAATGTCAGCTGTGTTTTTGTATGTTCTATTCTGTAATCCCAGTACCAACAATAGCACCTAACATACAAAGGATTCACAATTCACTGGATGAATGAATAGTTAAATTATGCCCTATCCACACTTACAGATTTATTTCAGTTATTCTAACAGTTTCTTAGTAACCTACAGTCTCAGCAAACTGTAAGAGTTAACTTATCTTCTGCTGATAGGTATTATGGTTGTTTCAGTGTTTCAAGAAGGTCTAGTTCAAAACTGTAACTAAAAAAAAAATTCAGAGGTGAAGATTTTGCTAAAAATTGAACTACTAAATGCTTGGGCTGGATCTAAACCTCAACTTTGTGAATCTTAACTGAAGCAGCATGCCTCTTACCTGCAGGTACTATCCACATTAGCACCAGGGGAAAAAGTCAAGTGGAGGCTGAACTAAGAGAAAACACAGCCAGACCTCACCCAGACTTCAACTTTCTAGACCAACCTTCCTAGTCCAATCTATGAAGAGATTTTAGAAGTCTCCTAGCTTACTTACTAAAACATATAATGTCATTTACTTCTGGTTCTACTCAGATCGCTTCACCTTACCTCCCTCACATATGAAAGCTTCTCATTTCATTTTAATACCCACATTCATGTTTGTAAACACCCTGCATTATAATAAGTAGTACATATCAGTTATATATAAATACCACTTTTAGACATTTAACTTTTTGCTGCTTCTTGCTGTACTAGTAAACTTCACGGCATAGTAGTTAATGTGTATTCTTCAAGAAGAAATAAATATTACATCTGAATAAAGTACCTTATTTTCCTCAGAGTATTTTCCAACTCTTTTCTGTTAAGGAGTTCAAGAGAAAAGTAAGCAACATTCAAAACTAAAGCATCCTTTTAAGTCTATCTAAAATCCTTCCTCATATGCACTGCTCACAAAAATAACCCCCACCCCACTCAATGTTTAATAGGCTATCACCTTAGAATAATCTCACATTTCCGAGGTCGCATCACTGAACTAGTCCATCGCAACGTTGATTCTAAACGCTTCCACTGTCTTCTGACAGATTCCAACTGTCGCAATCTAAACTGACCATGCGCCAAACCTCAGGGACTGTTAAGCCAGCAAACAATGCCAAGAGTAGCCATGCGCAGTATGATCACTCCAGCTGCAGTGACTTGGCCAGAGACTCCTCAGTCCTCACGGCTGAGACCCAGGCGGTACCGTGTGCTGCCTTCCACAAAGACAGAAGGCTAGCTGAGAAAGTCCCAGGAATCCAAGGGTCTACAAAGCTGCACTGCACCAGGGAGTTACTGTTCATGCTGATGTCAAAGGGAACAAAACCTAATCATGTTTATCTTAGCATTTTAGAGTATAAAACAGTAGTCTACAAAAGTATTTATGGTATACTTTGTTCAGTGTTTGTCCAATTGGATCCTAATCCCTTATTAACTTGTAATTTATATATATTGACTGGACAGTGCTATTCAAAAATTCTTTGGAAAAAAAAAAAAAACCAGAAGATCTGATTCCCCAACCACAGAAGAGAAGATAGCAATTTTAACCATTTCCTAAAATGAAATTCTGAGGATTCCATTCAGAAACAGGATTAATTATTAACAAACAGAAACATTTAAGTTCACACATCTATATTCTTTTCCTTTATTTTAGCTTGATCTGCAGACCACAATGAGAAAAGAGGATAGAACCAACCATAAATATTGCTGAGTCATCCAGAATCTGGAGCTGGCATCCTTTTTCAGCACCTCCTAGCTCAAAGTCACAAACTATCAGCCTGCAAACATTTATTTACTCTACAATGGAGTAGTCAAAAAGTGTCTGGAAATTCTGAATTTATTATCAACATTTTAAAATTGCCAGTGCCATGGCTCACTTGGCTAATCTTCTGCCTGTTGCACCGGCACCCCAGGTTCTAGTCCTGGTCGGAGTGCCGGATTCTGTCCCGGTTGCTCCTCTTCCAGTCCAGCTCTCTGCTGTGGCCCGGGAGTGCAGTGGAGGATGGCCCAAGTGCTTGGGCCCTGCACCCCATGGGAGACCAGGAGAAGCACCTGGCTCCTGGCTTCAGATTGGTGCAGCGTGCTGGCCGTAGCAGCCATTTGGGGGTTGAACCAATGGAAAAAGGAAGACCTTTCTCTCTCTCTCTCTCTCACTGTCTAACTCTGCCTGTCAAAAAAAAAAAAAAAAAAAGTAAATAAAAAAAAATTTTTTTAATTAGAGTATTTCACATGAAGACACAAATTTATAGCTATCTTTGAAAAAAAAAAAAAAAAACTGCAACAGGGAGGTAGACCAACATCAGGTCTCCTTTTAACTATAGCGAACCCATCAAGAGAAACTCTACTGGAGCCAGCCTTGGGCCAGTTAAGATGCTGATTCGTGCTGATTAGGATGCCTAGGTTTCCAATGGGAGCACCCAGATATCAGTTTGGCTCCTGCACCCACACGGGAGGCCAGGGTTGACTTCCAGGATCCTGCCTGGGGGTTGTGGGAACTGAAAGATGTCTCAGAGAATGTGTGCTCTATCTGCCACTTCTCTCTCTCTCTCTCTCTCTCAAATAAGCAAATAATTGCTTTTTTAAGAAAGGAAACACTATTAGAGAAATTTATTTGCAGGTACCAGCAAATTTTAGGCTTTGCCAAGAGGCATAATTAAGGATGTTGTATAGGTATTTATATAACCATTAAAAAATATAAAAACCAGTGGCTCACAGCTACAAAAAATAACAGGTGTCTAACTGAATTTACACGCCATGGCTCTAGACAATCTTTAGCTTATGTTAAAGAGTTATGTTTAATTAGGAGAGGCAGGGGAGATTTCAAAGACTGTCAATTTTTCACTTCAGCCTAGATACTAAAGTAAATCTCCAGGGAATAAATGTTAAGGAGAACAGTCATTAACTTCAAACACCACAAATTACAGCTTGGCAGAACTCAAGGTTTTAAATAGAACAATTACATACAATAAATTTAACTGAATATACCTATGAGTAAAAGAGAGTTGATGAAGCAAATCAATAAAACGGGCACTATTTCACAGAAGAACCTGGGGGCCAGCCTTATAGCTTCATATGAAGACAATGCTGGATTTGACTGGCAAAATGATCCTGTCATACAGCCAAATTTGAGCACCGATTATCGGGAATACTTAACAGTCACACTGAAAATTACTTTCTAGTGTTACAATAGTTCAGGAGTAACTATTCAAACACAATCAATGAAGTGTTCATTACAAGTATCTACTCATTCCAAAAGCTGACTCACGTCCTTTATGACGCAAAGCTACCTCTCATCCCCCAGCAGGGCTGGACAATCGGGCCTGCACTGCTGCACAGGCAGAACAGCACCAAGGCCAGCACTGATGGGCATGAGTCAAGGACACATCAGCAGGTGGATGCTAGTCTGCTGGGGGGGTTTCTTTATGAAGATGAATGTCTCAAGGTATCTCTACTGGGAAGCACTTCCTTTCAGTCAGTTCTCACTGTGAAACCAGCGGACAGGCACACTTCAAAACAATACCACAACCCAAACACATGAAACCTATTCAGATTTCTCCCAGTTACTACAAATC